TTTGCTCGTAATGTCTTCAAAGAAAACAAAACTGTTTTTTACCCCTAAGAAGATATCAGATATGTACGTAATATTAAATCGCTACTATTATAAATCATAAATGAAAATACTTTTTAAAAATGCAACGTTTTTAAGCGCACTATAAAGTAAAAAATAATTTATAAATATGTGGGGAGAATAAATACTTGTAAGATTAAAAAAAAACGTGGGCACATGCTGATTTACAATTATCTTTACCTATTGAACTATTATTATCTATTGCATGCACCCCACGTTTTTAGTTTTAAATATTTTAAGTATTTCCTTCCACATATTTATAAATTATTTTTTACTTTTTAGTGCGTTTAAAAACGTGGCATTTAAAAAAAAGATTTTTATTTATAATTTATTTTCTACTTTTTAGCCTTTAATGTGTAAATATGTTAAATCTATTTTATATGGCCTGTTAATACATACCAAACCCTTATTATCTGAAGTGATATGTTTTATATTTCCTTTGAACTGCTTATTTTATATTTAGAATCTCTCGGGAGCAGAACCTGTACCTCTACCCAAGCTTTTCGAACTGTCGAATTTAAGTATTTACGGCTGACTTCAAAATGTAAACATGGAAAATTTGGAAGCCCATGGGGCTTAGCCCAAGGAAAATATGAAAATTAAATGTTATAGTATTACATTGTCATCCATTTGTGAGCTGTGTTCTCTAGTTTCATTTCTCTAGCTCGTCGGGAAGTTAGTTTAAAATTTATTGCAAAGTTTGTAGCGGACAAAAAAGCGAGCTAGTAAAAACGTTTTAAAATTAGGAGGTGTCATGGCACTCATAGCACCAATTAACTCGAAAGTCAGCAAACTAATATACAGAATCGCTCTAGAACAATCGCTTCAGGGACAATGACATGGTTAGCTAATATCGCTGAGCTACTATCGCTGAGCTACTATCGCTCAGCTACTATCGCAAGAGTCGCTTCAGGGACAATGCACCTGTCTGCTAATCTCATGTCTGCTTTGTTCCGAGCAGTGGTATCGGGGTTATTCATTTATAATATATCATGCTCTTTACAAGAAGAGTCTAGCTTATTTTTTGGAGGTACATTTTTGGCTGAATTTTAACGTTTATTAGTTGCTGGCCCACAATATTTATATGTTTGAATATGTAGGGGGAATGGAAGGTTATTTATAAGAGTATTTAACAACCCTCGACCTCTATAAGGCTTTAAGAATAAACCTTTGCCTTTTTACATGTTTTCTTATCATTTAATACCATTTTTATTATATGAAAAATGACTTTTATTCAACATAAAAATAGATTTTAAATAATACATATTAAGGAAAATATACCAAAGAAGTTGGGTCTATTTCCTACCAATATTCGATGTGTTATATGTGGTCCAAGCGGAAGTAGGAAGATGGTTGTAATTTATAATTTAATTGTAAGAAAGGAAGGATTAAAATTTACAAACTTATATTTAATATCTAAATCTTTAGAACAAGAAAAATATAAATAAATAATTGAAATATTTAGTTTGTGTGACGAAGTGAAATTACACACGTTTACCGACTGTGAAATCACACCAAATGATGTCGAATCACAGTCAGTTGTTGTATTTGATCACATTAATAGTCCAAATATCATACAATCTTTCTCAATGTGTCGACATAAAAATATTAACTGTTTTTCCTTGTCTTACAGCAAAGTACAAAAACATTTACGCGTTAATGTAAATTTCCTAATATTATTCAAACAAGATGAATGAATTTAAAACATGTACATAACAATCATGTTGGTAATGATTTTTCATTCAACCAATTTAGAAATCTCTGCCACCAATGTTGGGATAAAACTAAATATGGCTTTTTCGTAATAGACAAAGAAAGGTCAAAGAATAATGGTAAATATATATTTATGTTTGATCAATTTTATAATGACCTAGCGCAAGAGTATTGATACCATCTTCTAGAATAAACCTCTTGTCATCGTCAAAAGATAGTACTTTTTTATTCATACTTAAGGTTTGAAGATTATATTATTTTCCCTTTCAAATTTATATATATCAGATATAGTTACGGGATACTTTATGTTTGTTATGTTCAACTGATTTTCATAGGGTGCATAGTTAGAGACCCTTTCAGCATGTTTAGCATTCCTTGGATGTAAAGCTGCTAAAATTGACTAAAGGAAGCATTTATTATCAATATTTTTTTATATTTAAAACTGCATGTTTTGATTGAATACTTTTTGGTGTTGGAATATATGACTTTTGAATTAGGGGCTTATACTTGTAAACATGTAACTGCCAATATTTAGTAAGGTCATAATATCCATCCACTACCTTGGGCATGGTCAATCTTTAAAAGAGCATTTTCAATTTGAGATTTTAGATCTCTTTTCTCAATGGATAGGATGGCAAGGCTTCTAAAATCTGCAATACATTCTTTTTCATTTATTAATTTTCCATTTTGATTTATTGTATATTTAATAAATTTGATCCTCCTTACTCAAGTCCATTTTATTGGCAGAGAACAAGACTGAAGAGTATTTTTAAGTTCAGTTTTAATCGATTCACCAACAAATTTAATCATTGTATATGGACATTTGTTGCAAGAATTTACGTGTCTTTTAAAATGACCAACAACATTTTCTTTTACATAAACTACAAGTCTTGTGAGTTTGTAATACATGAGATTTTAGAGTTATGTTACTATCACAGATTAAATTACAAACTTTGCACAGCTTTACCTTCATTGGATGTATTAACATGTATTTGTATTTGTGCATTTGGATGTGGTGGCGAATCAGGTTGCTTTTTTGGAGAGCGATACGGAGCAGTGTGGACATGTAGTCTTCATTTTTATATATGTAACTAAAAAACTAGGTTGGCATCTTCTATATAGTAGAAATTAAATTTTGAAAATTTAAATTAATGAGAAATAATAATTTAAATAATAATTCTAAATTTAAATACATGTTTTAATATTCAAAACAATTAAATACATTAAGATTTGATAATTGCAATTTTCAAAATCAAAACTAAATCCTAAAAGTTAAATTTCTTAAATAAAAAATACTTTTTAGCAATTCAGAATGCTGAGTCTACATTTATAGAGAGTGATTGTTAGTTATAGAGACGACTATGTTACCTATGTTAAGAGGGTAATAAGGGGGGAAAATATTCTATAGAGATTGAATTTCAGCTAAGTTTTTTTTAATTGGACTTGTCCAAAATTTGTCTCACACGGCTAAGTTTTAAAAAATTGACTTGGATACATTTTTGATTCAAAGTCCCTCAGTGCGTGAAATTTGGCTAAGTTTTTTAAAACTTGACGTATACATTTTTTTAGAAGTCCATCAGTGTCTGAAATTTGGCTAAGTTTTAAAAAAATTGACTTGTTTACATTTTGACTCAAAGTCCCTCATTGAGTGAAATTTGGCTTAGTTTTTAAAAATTGACTTGTATACGTTTTTTACAAGTCCCTCAGTGTGTGCTTTCGTGTAAGTTTTAAAAACATGACTTGTACACATTTTTTGACAAGTTCGTCGGTGAGTTAAATTCGGCTAAGTTCTTAAAAATTAACTTGTACAGATTTTTTTACAGGTCCTTCAGTGACTGTTAAAAATACTGTAAGTTATAAAAAATGGACTCGGGATATTAGCTACACTCCTAAGTTAAAAGAAATACAGAGTATGAATACAAGCATTAATTACGCAACCAATTGATCCCATGACCCGACACGCGACAACATATTACAGTAGTCTAGCTTACATGTCAAAGACTTACCAAAACAAGAAGATCCAGGTGGAAGAGTGAGTGAGGATACAGTAGAATCTCCCCTTTTATACCACAAAATTGTCTAAATTAATTTAGAACTCAACAATGGAAATAACAATTGAATAATTGAGGTCAATCAGTCAAACATATTTGGTAATTGTCTAAACCTGCCCCAGACAGACTGGCACCAGACAGACTGGAGCCAAACAGGCAGAGGAAACTAACAATTAGTATTGATTGGGGTCATTGGGTTACACTCACAGTCACTCATTGGAGTCGGGAGCATAGCCATAGAGCACTCCCGAGTTCGCGTGCAAACCTCGCACGATTTTGAAAATATATATGTGAATGGATATGAATTAGAAATGTTAATAGAGTTGGAACATTTGTATGGGCTTGTATAGGTCGAGAGCAGGGTCTTTAAAATAACTGGCTAAAAAAATCTCACCATGTTATTCTTACAAGGAAAACGTGCCTAAAGTGGGGTATCTTTCCTACATATCTACTGATAAAGTAGTTTTTTTTTTTTTTTTTTTTTTTTTTATCGCGATAAAAAGTCCCATTTCGGGGCAAGATAGTGTTTTACGAGTCGAAACTACTCGAAGTCGAATACGAGATGCGAGTCGAAGACTAGCATTGGAAACACTATCGAGGGTCACTTTCGTGACTAGTAGCATAGACAAAAAGAATGAAATATAGACTGTCAGCCGTGCTGCGGTTGCCATGGTTACCATAGGTTCCGGCGCACACCGCTGTAGTTTACGTAGCGCGTACGCCGTAACTACCGTGGTGCTCCAAGCGGTGTGCGCCAGAACCTATGGTAACCGCAGCACAGCTGACGGTCTATATTTAATTCTTTTTGTCTATGCTAGTAGTGAAATATATGTACAGTACTATTACATAATCCAACTAAATTTTTCAGCTAGAATGAGGAGAACTAAATCTACATTACAGACTTGTAGACGAACGAAACAAACTGTAGTTGGTTAAGGTAATTATTTAATTTTATCTTTACTCAGGTGTTTCACCAGTTGAGAAACATAAGATACTTGGAAATTGTTCACGTGTTCTATCCACTCTTCATCTTCGCCTACAATACGGTATATTAGCGGTCGTCAATCTGGTCTCAATTTAATCTCAACAGGCTGCTTTACTGTAACATGCTTTGCAAAAATCATATTTGCATTTGCATATACATATTGTCTCGTATTTGATAGCGTCTTGTGTCGTCAGGTATGTGGACCCGTCACGACCCGTCACGCTGGAACTGTCTCACGGCGCTGAGCGACAAGTCATCTCCTTGCCTACAGAGAAGCTGGACAAGAACAAGCGCTACTACGTTACGTTCACTATCAAAGGTGGTGACGTCACACCGCAGGACAGGGACAAGCATAGACACGCCAAGAGCTTCTAAGATTAGTCTAGTTCTTCACAAACATGCTATTAATTGTCCCAAATGGTGTTAAGGCGGGGTTTCCTCGCTGTCGAATCCGGCTACAGAATTGTGATTGTGAATGTCTCGTGCAAGCTCTAAGTTTCCATGGTTTTTGCCAAAGACAATTTCCTAAAATAGTAACGTTCAATGCGGGGTGAGGGTTTCGCGTCAGTTTTAATAGTTTGCACAGTTTGTCATATGCGGTGGTCTTAAAATCTGAATGTGCGGTGTTCTACATTAACCCACGACCCATAACTTGTCTAGTCCCCAGAGTGACTATAGTTTGGTTCGATGTTGTTAAATGACAAGAAAACACGTTAAAACTAAATTCATGGCCTTAGTTTAAAATTAAAAAAAATGATTTTGTACTTAAGAACTTCAAGTAGTTGAACTAAAATCATTACACAAATGCACCGTAACCACCAAAAACGTCACAATTCACACCAATGCACAGTAAGCTGCCAAAAATAGTTCAGGAGCACGTCTAAGTCACTGCGGGGTGCAGTCTCTGCCGATTTTGGCAGCAAGGAAACCCCGTTTGTACACAATCAATCGTGAAAGGAAATTGTACCATGAAAAATGTCAAATTCACATAATGTAAGCCGGATGGATCATGGAATATGGAATCACTTGCTGCACAATTAATTACTCTGACATTAAAAACCCATTAAACACCTCCTGATAGGCAAGCTAGGAATAAGACCGTACTGCGTAGTTGATCATGAAGGAGGCGAGACTCATCTGACTTTCTGGAAAACATCGTCACGAAACTCAGGATGATTCATTTGATTGATAGCCTTCTAAGATGCTTATCTCAGACGTATTTCAATCCAAGAACAGCAGGTAAAACAGAAAGAACCATGCAACAGAAAGAACCATGCAACAGAAACTAAAATACTACAGGATCCTAGTGAAACTCAAATAAATATTACATATTCTTTACATCTGTAGGTTGGATTACAATTATTATATTAATGAAACTCTGCACACTATTTTAGGAAAGAAACTATAACAAAAATTACGATGTAAACTATTATTATTAGTATTTATGATACTTTGGGTCCTAAATATTCGGTCCTAAATTAATAAATGGTATCTTATAAATATTACTAACCCCAAATATACGAGTATGATGTTGTTTGGACATCTACAATTCCTCACCCCAATAGGAACCGTAAACAAAACTGTTGGACGTACATCTGCCCTCTAATAAAGCAGATTGGTGTTCTATTTTGTTTTTTTTGTTGACAGCCATGTCTCGAGTAATTTTACTTCCCTAACTATTATCTACATACATTCTGACAAAAGCAATTAGCTGTTATGAAAATTTTTGACTTCTTGCTTAGTTTAGTTACTTGTATTTTGTTACATTAGTGTTTAGTACCCGTGGTGATAAACCATAAATAAACCCTCTTCAATTTAAAACTCGCTTTAAGTTAAAATGTATAAAACTAGGCTATAATTCTTTTGTTGTTACAACCGTGAAGAGCCAAGTTCATATGCTCTAAATTTTTCCAATAATATGGTATAATGGCTATAATAATTGGTATAAACTTTGTATGGATTAATAAATGTTTAGAATGGTGTATTATTAGAGTGATTTTATTGGTATTACTGTTAAACTTATATAATATTATAGTACCATACTTGATACCTATTTATTTGTTTCTGTTAGTTTAAAACATGTGAAAAATACTTACACTTACATTAAGATGTTGTGTTTTATATTAACATTTGTAATATAAAATCAAACAATGTAATTAACTACCTATCAGCATATGAAAGCAGAAAACTGCTTTTAACTGCCTACCTGTTGCGTTCACAATGGTCGTTTATGTAGGCTGTAAGCTACATAGACAACCGATTAACATGAAAAGAATGTCAATTCTAGTATGTAGATATGTAAACTACACATTCCATTAGTGTTAATGTGGTTATATTTCACAATATCACTAAAAAAATGTGTAATAATTTTAAATAAAATTATAAGTATTTTAATTGTGTTTTATTGCCACAACTCCCGTGGGCACAACTCCCAACCCGAATACATAAACACTTTTTATTTGATTACAACTATCAAGTGTTTTAATTGTTGAGTTGCAGCATATTATTTTAATTCAGATATATATTTTGTATATTCACATACCATTTGTCCTTGTATAGGCCTATAACAAAATAAATTATTTAACGAGATCATTCCACACATAATAAAAATATATACTAGAATACTGATGAGGATAGACTACTGATATAGTTAAACAAAAAGAGTCCGTTTGTTATTCAGCTTTTCAAATTGGATCTTTTTACGATGGCAAAGGTTCGGATTTGTATAAAAATGATTTGAAGAAAACTACTTTATAAATTGTTACAGATTTGTGTAGTAACAAGTATCATTTTCCCATGCACTATACAAAAAGAAAGAGTTAGTTAAATTTAAGATTAAATCATAAATTAGTAATTTTATTACATTTCAGTAATGTTTATACTTTGATGTTCCAACACTATTGTAATTTTGATCAAAATCCCCTATAATAAAAACTAAGTTACCTGTACCATTGACTATTCGATACTGAAGTAGACATCTTATCTATGTGGAACAATAACTGTCGCCAATTTTCATCAAAACACTTAGTTGTGTGAGCCGGTAAAGAATGTGCTAGTGTTTAAAATCCTATTTTCTACCTTATTTTTGGTTGCTGACGTAGCTGGTGGGTCACAACAGTCTTTATAGATCACAATAAGTCGTTCTACCAGTTTGAATTCGTAAAAATATTTGTGTATGCGACAGAAATTAGCAATTTAGATCAGCGCAATCTATCGGTGGCTCACTTCAACTACGACGAATTTGGTTTTTAAAACTGACGACAACGTTAACATGTGAATGGAATGTCTAGCCTGTACTCATACAACAGCTCGAATGCTGTTTGTGACTCATACCATTGATGTTGTTGTATTAATAGTCAAAGCTCATATACACAACTGATTATGATGGTTTTGTCATCGAAGATGTCAACGTCAACTCAAGCTGAGTTAACTGCTCAAGTAGGCCTACTAGTGTTTAAAACGTCACAAATATTATGTCTATTAAGTTTATTACAAATCTAAAACTCCTTTTGAAAACTTTACATTTTAAAGGAAGATAGGTGGGCAAGTTAACCACTCCCAAACATGCAAAGATCTCATTTCGGAGCATGACGTTGATTGGTATGTGGTTAGACTTTACCATAATTTCTTTTAAGTTAACATTCATGTTATTTCGAGGCCAACTTGATTTCTCTTCCTTTAGCCATTCCGGCCCATGCCACCAAAGACTAGATTGTTTCAGATGAGAACCAGAAATGCCTCTAGTAGCCAAATCAGCTGGGTTTTCAAACGAACTAACACCATTCCAATTTGAAGGCGGAATAGTGTCTTGTATTTCTGACACCCTGTTAGCAACAAACGTCTTCCATTTATTTGGCAACTGAGACAACCAACACAAAACAATTGTGGAATCAGTCCAAGCACAACACTTATTTACATCAATATTCAGAGAAAATGCTACCTTACTTAATAATTGAGAAAGAAGCAAGGCACCACAAAGTTCTAATCATAAAGAAATTATAGATATTTACTCAGAAAAATGGACATGGTTTTCTCATTCATTTACTCACTCAACTCAATATTTATTTACATTCTTGAAAGTAAACACTAACATTTTAATAATTAGAAAACATATGACTTAAATAAAGAAATTATGGTAAAGTCTAACCAGTATGTGTTATGTATGCTGAAATACTGTTCTGTAATTTAATTCAATCAGATGTTTTCATAAAAGCAATGTTTGTTTACTTGTTACTTTTGTTATAAATGTTTGACAATAAAAGATTCTTCATTCATATATTTTATTCTATTTTAAATGTAATAACGTTACATAATGGCGCTGCACGGACATGAGGAATATGACAATGACTACACATCATCTACATTAACAGTGGAACAACCTACTACACATAGTTTAACTCATTTTAAGTTCGAGAAGTTTGATGCTACCAAAGAAACATGGAAGTACTACTACCAAAGGTTGACATCCGTCATTATTTTGACGGGAAAAGTCTACATTTCCACTATAATCACTCATTCCAGCAAACTTATCAATTTGTTTGACATAACGTCTTGAAAGATTTTTCTCAATGACGACATTATTGGATTTCAGACAAACTCGTTCAAAATGCCCCATTTTCCCACAAGCTCTACATTGAATATTCATTGCCTTGCAATGCTCACCTGTTTTATGTTTTGCTAACCCACACCTCAAACACTGTGACTCAGGATTCAAGTTGATTCTAGTACTGTCCCTTTTGTTAGTAGTTCGTGTAGCCCCTACCTTATTTACCTGTGCGTCACATGAAAATGTCCCAAGTTGTTGAGAATGTGCCATTTCCATGAGGTAGGCGTCTTTAACGATGTCGACAAGTCTTGCTTTTTCCTCAGGATGTTTTCTGATGAGCTAGGAGCTGAGCTTCCCGGTTTGGTAAAGAACATAAGTCAAATTAATAATGTAGAGAAATTTTGTTACGTTGTTCATTTAACAATAAATAGGGTTCCAATAACGATGGAATATGACACTGCTGCTGCAAGAACTATAATTAGTAAATCTACGTGGAAACAAATTGGTGAACCGGCACTGACTCCTACGGAGGAGCTGGGTGCTTATCCGTCATTTAGGATACCTATGCTCGGCGAGACTAAGGTCGCTGTTTCGTTAGGTTCAACTACTTTGCAATTAAGTGTTGCTGTCACTGACAGTGTTTCAGGGACACCTTTGTTTGGTAAAGATTGGATTGTAGCATTTAATCTAGATCCTAACTGTGAACATGTATGTAAGCAAAATTCTTATAGCGTCAATCATATTAACACGGACATTATAGACAAAGAGGGGGAGAAACGTAAGATATATAAAGAATTCAAAGACATAATTACCAATAACCTAGGAACAGTGAAAAATTTCAAAGCTAAGGTTAGAGTAGCTAATGATGTACAATTGCCAATACACAAACCGAGACCTTTCCGTTCGCATTACACAGTGCAACTAGCAAGGAACTAGATCGTTTAGTGTCCTCAGGGGTCTTAGAACCTGTGGATCCGGCTACGACTCCGATCCTTTGTGCTTCTCCTTTAGTTGTTGTACCTTTCTAATGGTGAGGTACGATTATGTGCAGATTTCAAGGTATCAATCAACCCTCATTTAATCGATGACGAATACTGCATCCCTACGTTTGAAGAAACAGTGCTTAAGTTGAATGGTTCAAAATTCTTTTCAGTTATTGATTTGAAGGATGCGTATCTACAGATTCCAGTGGACGAAGAATCAAAAAAATATCTAGTGGTAGCGACACATAAAGGATATTTTACCTTCAATCGATTACCTTTTGGCATTAAGACTGCACCTAAGATTTTTCAAAAGCTGATGGACCAATTATTAGTTGGTACCGATGATTGTGCGTGGTATTTTGACGACATATGTGTGGGCGGTAGAAGTGGACCAGAACACATTGATAGGCTCAAAACAGTTTTAAATATATTGAGGAGAGCAGGACTATGCACGCGTGAAGATAAACTACAGCTTTTCAAACAAAGTGTGACTTATCTTGGGCACAAAATTAGTGCTCTGGGTATTCAGCCTGTTGAAGATCGTGTAGAAGCTATCAAGAAACAACCCCCACCAAAGAACGTTTCTGAGCTTAGATCATTTCTTGGATCTGTGAATTACTATTCAAGATTTATTCCAAATTTGCAATCTCTTTGTTTTCCTTTACACAGACTTTTGCACAAGAACTCAACTTGGGCCTGGAATAGTGACTGTGAGGACGCATTCAACCATATTAAGAGCAACATT